CTTAAAGAAAGGTACCAAAACTAAGTACGTCTAGACTATCCCATTCAATCAAATTCCCAGAGCCCTCATCAACTAATTTTTAAGGATAAGGAAAATATCTGTTTAGATTCAAAGAAAAATTATTTGGGAATAACCAACTGTTCATTGGCCTCAAGCTGTTCTTTGCTTATTCTAGACTAAAATTTCTTCATAGTCCATACCCACTTTCCAAATCCTTGCTTGGTTCCTTCCTTCTAGGTATTAAAGGTTACTAGATAGTTATTTTGATTCATATTATAATTGCCTCATACCAAAAAGTCAATAATTTATGATAACTTTTAAATAGGCTGAGTTCTAATAGCCCCTTTCTGGAGACAATGGGGCAATGGGGTAATTCAGTGTACCTGATTCCCCTAGAATTCCTCCAGACCACATGAGAGATTTCTGTAAAACATAGTTGTTTTCCACTGCCCATTATCAATTTAAAAAAAAAAAAAAAAAAGAACTTCTAGCTGCCAAAATTTAAATTGAACAGATTTCTTAAAAGATGCTTGTTTCAGGTACTGTAAATTTTGGAGAGTATCTGAGGATTACAGATAGATAGGTCTTTCAGCTTCCCTTATAATGAAACTATATATCCTTATGCATGGAATTGGCCTGATTACATTTACTGATTTGTCATTGTAGCTAGATCTCAATAAATGTTTCTAAAAAGCTATATAAGTCAATATTTTTCCATTTCATTTACTTTATAACATTTGAGGCAATAGACAGAAGGACAAGTAAGGGCTTTAGAGTCTGACACAACCAAGTTCAATGCTGGCTCTACTTTGATCAAGCTGTATGACCAAAGGTCAATTACAAATCCTACCTAAATTTCAGCTCCCTCGAAGGAAAATGGGAATATACTCCCCTCTCGTTGAGTTGTGACCATTGAAACTCAATACTCTTTGTAAAATCCTTAGCCCAAATGCTTTACTTATAGCAAAGCAAGTCCTCAAATGCCTCTTTAGGCTGCAGTGACTTAGTTAAGTGTTCTCTGCCACATTCCCTGAACACTACTCCATTTTTTAACTACATATTAACTTATCTGTACATAAAAGGAACTTTAAGGGGCTATTTTACAAAACCCTTTTAAATCAGAAATACTGATTTCCCTAACTTTCTATTATACAATTTTATATTTTTTGAAGAAAGTAATATTAATTAACCCCTTTAGCAGAATGTAGGTATAACTTATGATCAATTTGATCACATCTGAACAAATGACCTAAGACATTCATTTTCCCCTACCATGAAGGTTGCCGTATTCAACAGTGAACATTAATATTCAAAATATGAATAGTTTTTTAATTAAAAGCAATATTCCCTTTACATTTTTTTAAAGCTATGCCCAGGCTACACGAGCAACAACTTATACTTAGCAACAACGCAGAGTGAGTTTAAGAGATTTCATCTGCCATCAGCTGAGATGAGGGGAAGAGAGCCATGAATACTGCTCTGTTATGGTCTCACCATATTCCCTACAGGAAAGAGTCAATAGCTCAGTTCCTCCCAGAGCTAGCTATTGATTCCCTGATGACCAACTCTGGACAGCTGAACGCCAGGGAAAAACAATTCGGATCAACTTTGAATAAACAGATTTAAGCAGTCAAGCACAGGTTTCAGAGTCAAAAAGATGTGGTCTCTATCTTGACTTTGTCATTTCCTAGTTGTGTAGCCTTGGGCAGTTTCTTAACAGTTTCCATAACTATCATTTGGGAATAAGAATTTATGGCTGTTTCAAGGATTACATGAGAATAATATATATTAGGCAGATAACAATGTCAGGCATAAACACTTGCTTCTCCATTATGACTCTGACATCCCTACCTCTCTTTAATAACCTGAAATAGTGACAATCCCTGCCAGTAAGGGTGAAAATCAGACTTAGGCTTTTCCCAACAGTACCTCAAAGGAATTTTTTGGGAAACTCTGCACATCATATTCTCCTTGTGAAAATTCAAATGCATATTAGGATATTAAAAGCTCACAAAATTCTTACAGTAAAGAAGCCTATTTGATTTTGGTTAACTAGGGGTTTTCTAAATTTATTTGACCCTTTGTTTTTCAGAATAACTACTCCACTTTGCATCTTGAAAAATGCTACTTCAGCAGCCAAGCCTATTAAAATTGCTGGTGTTAGGGGAAAAGATATCACGATACTCCAATCTTCCCTTTCCTGGTTACAAAAAAAAAATTCAAAAAACCCTTAAATATTATTATTTGCTTTGTGCCACAGATGTGCTTTTGAAGACCCATAAAAAATGACCATTCTCAACCTTTTTGGTCTCAGAACCCCTTTATACTCTTAAAATTACTGATGGATATATTCATTACTTTTACTACAATGATAGATGATCTGATGGTTAAAATTTTATTTGTACCTTGGCTAGGCTAGGGTGCTGAGCTATTTGGTCAAACACTAGATGTTACTGTGAAGGTAAATGTAGATATGATTAACATCTACAATCACTTGACTTTAAGCAAAGGACATTACCCTCGATAATGTGGGTGGGCTTCAACTAACCAGTTAAAGACTTTAAAAACAAAAACTGAGACTTCCTCTGAAAACTGAGAAGGAATTCTGTCTTAAGACTATAACAGAAATCTTACCAATCTGTTGTACAAATTTCAGGTTCAGACTGAAATATCAACTCTTATTCAGGTCCAGAATAAGAGTTGCCTTACAGATTTCAGACTTGCCAGTATACATATGTCAAAATTTATTAAATTGTATATTTTATTTTTATACCAATTATACCTCAAAAATTACTCAGAATCTCAAAAAGCTTTTATGTGCTTCTTTTTTGATGTGTGCTGATATCCACTGAATTAGAAATAAAATTGAGAAATGTTTAAAATATTAAATATATGGATATATAAAAAGTATTTACGTCGATTTACATGTTTTTTGTTTTAAAAAAGCTATATTTTCTAAAACAAAAAAAAAATGGTGAGAATAGTGGTATTTTAAATACTTTTGCAAATCTCTTTAATGTCTGCCTTAAAAGAAGACAGCTGGATTTTCCTACCTGCCTCAGCATTCAGTATGTTGCAGCATGTTGTTCTGGTTGAAATATATAAAAAAAATCTGGCTTCAATCAGACTTATAGTTGGAAAATGAAAGAAAATGAGCCTTTTCAGCCTATTATTCTTTGATAACACTCCAAAACTTGACAAGTAGTGGTTTTCTAAAAAGCAGCTGCAGTGTGCAATCTCAAACTAAATCAATAAGCTTTCAGATACTGTTTCATTAAAATCCACTGATCTACTTGAATTTTTAATAGATCCTTTACCTATATGTTATCTTATCATATCACAATCATATTGGTCTTCAGAAAATATTGATTCACAGAACTATGCAGATCTTCCAAATACATATTTATTTATTTCCTTATATAAAATAAATATTAATATCACCAATGATCGAATCAGAAAAGTCCTTAAATATTAAAAAATTTTAAGCTCATGGTAAATCACGAATTTTCCAAAATCCTAATTTTTGCTTTAAAGTTCAAATTTTATCTTCACCAATAAATGCTATCAGTTGTTTTCCTTGAAATAACAGGCTCATTTAATTCACTTTTAAGAAAATGTCTGCCAAATACCCAAGTCTGAATAATGAATAACTTTTTGAAAGTTATTCTTTCAAAAATAAACATGTTATTCCAGATTGGTGGTCTCCAGAGACAGGGGTGGGGGGTGGGTGAAATGGGTGAAGGGAGTCAGAAGATACAAATTTCCAACTATAAAATAAATATGTCTCGGGAATGTAATGTACAGCATGGTGACAACAGTTAACAATATTGTATTGTATATGTGAAAGTTGCTAAGAGAGTAAATCTTAAAGGTTCTCATCATAAGAAAAATTTATAACTGTGTGGTAATAGTTGTTAACTATTTATTGTGGTATCATTTCTCAACATATACAAATATCGAATTACTATTTTGTACACCTGAAACTTAAATGGTATTTGTCAAATATATCTCAAAAAATTTTTTTAATAAGAGCGAAAATTAAAATTGTTAAAATTGAAAGTCTGTTCCATATAAAAAAGTAGTCAGTTTGTCTCACAAATGTTTTTCCTCAAGACAACCATCATACTTGAGTATATGACAAAGTGCTGTATGGTACATCCCTTTTTGTCATACAATATTAAAAAGACATGTACTTAAAAGTCAAAATTTACTAAAATTAATTAGTAATTCTTACTGTATACTCTCTTAAGTGAAGCTGGCATTTTTTTTTTTCTTTTTTATTGCAAGTATATATGGCAGAGAAGAATGCAATGACTACTGGCAGAGTTTAATGCCATTGCCCTTTTTCACACTAAGGAACCGGTAGTTTTAGTCTACCAGTGATTCTGCATCATCAGCGCAAATATCAACATGATGAAAAGACTGACAACATCTTAGTGTTATTATAAAAGTTGCTTTGATCTTATAGACTCTCCCCTAAAGAGACTTAGACCCCTCAGAGGCCTATAGACAAAACTCTGAAAGCCTTTGCTCTAAATAAATACACTTAGATGCTGGAAGGATAATAGGACTATTAGTAGCTCCACAATTGGTATAAAGTAGAGCAATCTTGATTAGAAATGAGGAGCTAACAGAATTGCCTCAAAACTGCATATGCACAGCAAATTCATTTTTACTTATATATGTTTATTAGAAGGGATAAATGTATATATAACTAGACATTAATCAGTGAAATTTTTGTATTATTCTGATTATCTTGGACATTCTAGATAATATGGGCTCATTAAGTGGCTACACAACCAAATTTCTAAACCAATTCAAAAAATTAAATGTAATATTTAATATCTTCCTCAATGTAAAACTAAGCAAAAACAGTTGATAAGTTTTTAAATGAGCCACTTTCAGTTTAAACACTGCTAATGAAATCTAATTATTTGACTTATAATGCTAGAAATTTTTAATTCAAGTGAAATTTACCATATTGGGACAATTGTTTATAATCACTGTACCCTCTGATTTTAACATTTAGGTCCTTCAAAGAGACATTGGGAAAGAATAATACAGATATTCAAAAATGCAATACCCATTAATGGCTCTTTTTAATAAAAGATACTGTCCTCTTATGGAATCAAGAAAACCGTCGATCACAGGCAAAAAAAAAATGTTGATTTAGGTACTTTAAAAGGAAGCAGAGCAAATGTACATTAACACTTATGGGAAAAAAACATTTTTAGCTATATTTAAATTCTGGCTATGGAATCATATATCCTAGTAAGCCACGTTATAAAATTATATTTCAAGTCATACAATTTAAATTATATAAAATCGAAATAAAAACAAAGGTTAACTTACTCGATCTGCTAATCCTCCAGGAACTATAGTTCTCACAATCACACCACTTGATTTTCCTCCAACTATTCCAAAACCTAATCCAGAGCCATCATTAATGAGCTCAACATCTTCAATATGGCCCCAACGAACCTACAAATTAAAGGCAAGAGCCAAAGCATTAATAAAACACAGATTCTTAGCTTCCCAATACAATAATTACACAACAAACTGAAAATTCATACAATTAAGATGACTTTTAGAGGCTAAGAAATATGTAAAGGTGATCATATGATTCCTGACCTTAAGAATTTTATAATCCAGTAGATAAATAAAATATGAGACAGCATATTGGATCATAAGACACTGTAGCTCTAAGAGGACAGAAACATATCTCATTCCCCAGTGTATGCCCAATATCTAGCACAGTGCTCAGCACATACGAGGAACCAATAAATGTGTTTATCTGAACAGAAAGAGAATCACAAATATTATAAAGACTGTGGGGAGAGGGTGCAGACAAGTCAAATTCAATCTAGAATTATGGAAAGCTTCAGGGAAAAGGTGGCATTTTAATTGCACTACAGAGGAAAAAATACATTCAAAGGGAAATGTAAGAGCAGAGCTGGGCTTGGATAAGCGAGTGGGAACTATGGAACGTTTTAGAAGAGGGAATGACAGGAACAAAGCAGTGGTTTAAGAAGATTAATCTGGCAGCAATGTAAAGTATGAAATGGTGAGATGGACATGAAGCAACGAGACTCATTTAGGAGACTCTTATGTGGGAGAGGAAAGGCAGACCCAACTAAAGATATTAGCAATAGGATTAGACAAATCAGACTAAGAGATATGATGTTCTTCCTCTAACTAGCAGGCTTTCATCAGAAATATGCATTAAATTCACATAATCCAACTTTAAAAGAAAATTCTCTTAAGATCATTAGGGCATACTTATTAGTTTTTCTATTGTACTAAACTGGAAAGTTACTATGTAATGTTAAAGTAACCAGGAATATGGAGAATATTTAATAAATTCATGTCTGAAACAATAGTATCTGGGAAGCAACATATTTTATAAAATATGCTTGAATTAACATCAGCTAATATTCATAAAGTATTTACTTTGCATCAGGCACTGTGCTTAGCTCTTCACACGTATTCTCACTTAATCATCCCAACACCTTTGTGAAGTAGATGTTATTATTAGTTCCAAGTAACAGATGAAGAAACCCACGTATGGAGAAGTCAAGAAATCTGCCCAGTATGACATAGCCAGGAAGTGGAGAACTGGATTTGAACCCACTTTAATCTGACTCCAGAGCCCTTGTTCTTAACCACTGTGATAAGCAATTTCCCACTTTGTTCATTCTATTTATTATGTAAATCGTGCTGTATATATAATAATTTGTATTGTGACCTTGTACTGTACCTGGTCTAATTTTTCTTTTGTCCCAATGAATGAAAATTAAATAAATCAGTTAGCACTTAGTGTTATAAGAAAATAAGATTTATTAGCTTGCATTCTGAAGATGCGGGCCAAAATTCGTAAAATGTTATCAAGCAAGTTTAAAGATTCCTAAAAGAGACATATACTTTTATTCTTTTGAACTGTTACACATATATCCTTGCATGAAAAAAGAAAAAGTTCTATAATTTACAGTATCAATAACCTAGTCATAAACATCCAATATAATTTATAAAAATAATGTTTTTGAAATAAATAACACAATCCTAAGATACTCAGTAATAACTCCTAATAAAAACTCTCAGCTTAATAAATGAACTGGCTATATTATCAAGGAGCACAAGACTCTTTCATCACCAAATATATTATGCCCAATACTACAATTTGCCCTCTATATTAAAACATAATCTTAAATAAGGAAAATCACAGGACATAGAAAAATAACACTCCACGTACTATGTTCTTTAATATGCTAATGCTGTATTGTAGATATAATCATCTTTTTTAAAGTAAAAGTCAAATGACACCTTCTAAACGTCTTTAAACCAATGGCAAAATTCAGTATTTTTCTAAATTTGCAACTCACTGTTTCAGGCAGAATTGTATCATTTAGGCTGGTAGAAGCATTGCTTTTTGTGTGGACTGGTTCCCTGGCCACAACCAGACTCAAAGATCCAGTGGTTTGTTGTAGTAATGCAATTGCTTGCTGATGGGAAATGTTGTGATCCAGTGGTGTGTGATTGATAGCCAGTATCTGGTCATTTTCCTTTAACCTTTGGTCTCTTGGTGAAAAAAAAGAAAATTTTCTTTTAAGTAACATAATAGCTTAATCTTAAAAAAATCTATTACTCAAGTTAAACATTTTATTTTTTATGGTACTACTTCTCTTAGTACATTTGTTCAAATAATTATTTAATTATATAACAGAGCTCTTTAGAGTGCTTTTCATCAAAGCATTTATTAGCTAATTAACCAACTAAGTAATGAGCCTCTAAACACACACACACACACACACACACACACACACACGTTTTAAAAGCCATTGGGCTAGAAAAATAAGCAAAAACAATGTCAAGGTTTTACAAGTATGGACATTGCCCCTATCAACTGCATGAACCCTGTATTCCTGAACCCCTTCAAATCTGACTTTAACACATACCACACCCTAGTAATTATATTCTCAAATTCACCAGTAGTCTCTTCTCCAGCAGATTCACCATCTCCATTGTACTTCACTAAAATGTCAACAGAGGCCAAACCTTCCTTGAAAATCTAGATTACTTTCCAAATCTGTATCTGAGCCCTTCTCTCTCCTCTAAGCACCAATCTCCCAACTGCTAACCAAAGTAAAAAGGGCTATTTTTAAAAGAAATTAGCAAAATCTCTTTTTTAAAAAAAGCACTTATTATAGTCAGTATTTACTGAGCATTAATCATGAGCCAGGTACTATGCTAATCATGAGCCAGGTACTATGCTAAACACTTTACATATATTCTCTCATCTAATCCTCACAATCACCTTTTAAAGTACTTAAATTTTACAAGCCAGAAACTGAAGCCTGGACAAGCTTAGCATCTTATCTAAGTTGTCTAACTCTGAAGCATACTCTTTAACTTTTTAAGTTAAAGTGCATTGTAAGGATACCACCACTTCTCTTCCTTTCTCCATTATCAAAGTTTCTTTATCCTTCTTTATCTCTCTTGAATCTACCCATCTCCACCTTTCATTCCCAATGTCAATCCTCCAGTTGAGATCTTCAGCTAATACCTAAAACCTAACCTGCGAAATTTCTCCAGGTTTATCTTTTTAGGCTATCTTGTGCTGGTATTTGCCAACTCAAAAGTGTATAATGATTATCTCTGTGTTTACTGACCAGTAAAGAGAGAGCCAAAAACAAACAAACAAACAAAAAAAACACCAAACCTCTTGTCATGATTATATCATAAAAGAACATTTTTAACCTTCAAACTACAAAATTTCTCTGGGAAGGGATTTACCTCAGAACAGAGAATTCTAATTCATAAATCTGAATTCTGAAAATTCCATTATATTGCCCTTATTTTTCTCAAGTCACATCAGATTCAGAAAAACTTTGTCAGGGACTGGAATTTGATAACTTCTGACATCTCGGACATAGGGCAAAACTTGGCTGGTATTCAAAGTCTTCTTTGTTTGGCCCCAAAGTATCCTTCCAACTTGGCTTCCTTCCTTTTCCAATTATTCTTCTACTCTTTTTTTTTTTTCCCTCTCAAACATGTCTGGAATTTCTTGCTCCTGTATAAATGGTTTCCTCCATCTTTAATGCCCTTCCACTCTGCTCAGCCCATTCAATCCCCCCTCCACAATCCAGCTGAGTGTGTGCATCTCCCTCCTCCTTTTTCGCTCCCTTTCCTGCTTCCCTCTCCCTCTCATACTTCATTATCATGGTGCTCTGAACCCCTCCTTTATCACTCACTGAATATTCATTTTTACTAAGTATGCTGTCAACACAGCTAACTAAATCAATCCTTATCTAATATACTTTAAGTTTTCTGAGGACAGGGACTGATACGTCTTTGATTCTCCTTTGGAACCAACAAGTTGGATATTTTGATTTTTGATGCCAAAAATGTGAGTGGTTCTCACAAAAGATCACATACTTTTCAAAATGTTGCTTATACATCCTTTTAGTAATAGGAAAGGCTTATATTAAGAAATAATAATAATACATAAAATTACATGTTCGCTATGACTTTGTCTTTATAAAGAAAAAAAATTCCAATGTTTTTCCTAGTTGTCTGAGGGTGGTCAAAGTCCAAGAGGTTTTTTTGGGGGGAGGGGAATTATTGTATTTCTATATTTTATATTTTCCAATTACATGCATGTATTTGCTTTCATAATGATTTTCATAATTTTAAAATTGATATTTTCTTGAGAATATTGCCCATGAACAATGTCTTCTTTTCTCTGACTTCTTCACAGCTTGTTAACTAAAGGAAATTTCTTAATTAATCCCAAATGAATGAGTTACTCTTGAATTTTTTCAACCCTGATGTAACTCATACTACATAAACTGGTCTTTAATTTACTCAATGCTCAGATTTTCTATTTTCTGAAAATCAATCTATTTTAATCTACCTTTCCCCTTACTCAATAGACTTTCAGGACACCTCGTTTATTTTCATTTAATATCTGTTCAGGGAATATAAACTCAACCCAAGGATTGACAAGCTGCAAAGGAGAAGTCTCCTGGAAACTATGATTTTGATACATTCTAAAAAGCTGAAAAAATTAGTTGTACTATTATTTATAATTAACTCTCCATACCATTCTCTCTCTCCCTCCTTCTCTCTCCCTCTCTCTACGTATATACACACTCATGCGCGTGCACACACATACACATATAAGTGTATGTGTGTATGTATGTATTTATAACTGAATTCACACTTTCCATTCAAAGGGAGACGAGTTCTTGCCTCTCCATTGCAAATAATGGATTTCCATGACTTTGAGAACCAACAAGTCTTAGGAAAGCTCCTAAAATAACACAGTTCTATGTGCAAAGTCCTGAAAAGAAAGGAAGAAATGATCATAAAGACCATTTAACATGATCTAAAGGTTCTGCATGGCTGGCCCCTGTCTCCAGCCCATTCTTAAACTGTCTTGCACTAAGCTCCCACACCAGATAAATACCAGCCACACTTGAAGGATATGAGCTGTGTTCCACTTCTTTATAGGGCTACTGATCAAGAGAGTCTCTTCATCCCTCCCTGACACCTTCTGCTCTCAGCAGACCCCACTGTCAAATATCTAACTCCTCTTTTTGGAAGCATTCACCTCAATTTGTAATTACAGACTATTAGTACAGTGTAAGTGAGACATAAGGATTCACACAAAAAGGTTGTATAACATTAAAAATACACTAAAAACTAGTGAAATGTACATTTTAAAATGGTAACATTTGTATTATGTGAATTATATTTCAATAATAAGATAATAATAAGATGTTTTACAAGTTGAGTCAAAGTTAACTAGTCTTTTCATCAAGGGGCTTTATAACCTTAAGTAAGCTAATATAAGTGACCCTAAGTCCAAGTTGACTCTGGATTATCTAGTTTTGCTAGATTGTCCTAGTTTATACCTGTTGTCTCAGTGTCATTATTAATAGCCCACCCTCTCACTTCCAAAACTATCTCAACTTGGACAATAAATTATGATTACCCTAACTATGTATGCCCAATCTCCAAGAAAGGCATAGAGTTTCTCTAAGATATCTGACCATTGCTATGGTTTCTCAGAATGTATTTGAGGAAATGCTGCATTAGATGGCAGAATAAAGATGCAAAGTCATGGAAATGCCATTATTTCTGAATTTGCAGTTGGGAAGACTAGAATTGATCCCCTAAGAATATGAATTCAAAATACATTATCGACTAAGAATCTTTTTATAATAATATTGCTACTGTTGTTTTATTATAACAGATAGTAGTAATGTAATGAATACTGTGCTTGTTAAATAAAGTGAAAACCTGAAATCAAATGCACATATCCCTTAAAAAAATAAAACAAAGGCACAAGTGCAAAAGGGGGGGGATCAAATAATCTTGAGGGCTTTAAACTGATAGTAAGTGAAATAATACTGTGATATGACTACCAAAAGTGTTATAATCTTAAATTTAATAAACAACATAGTGTGCAGAATGCAAATTTCAATATTCCCATCTTACTGACCAGACCTTAGCTAAACTAACATGGTTCAATAGTGAGAGTGTGGTAGAATAGAAAGAGCACTAGCTTTGCAGTCAGTCTTGAATCACATCATGGATCCAGCATTAATAGCTCTGTGACTATTGGTAAACCACTTGAACCTCTCTCAAACTTAGCTTTCTCATCTATGATACTAGTAATTAGATGGCTGCCACCAGTATCGGTGAGACTATCTGGAAAAGGCCTGACAAATGCATAGGAGAAGGAAAGTGTTAGCTGGTTTTGTTACTGTGTTTATTACCAGTTTCTAATTATCTTTATAATAATGTTGACAGGATTGTCAGAAAGATATTAGCAGAATGCAAACTGAACATCTTTCTCACCTGTCCGCTATACTCCCTGGCTGTACTTCCTTCACGAAGATATCAACTTCTCCCAGATTCTGACCTCTAAGAGCCACCACACTGAATCCAAGGCCTCCAGCTGAAGGCCTTTCTATATCTATATATTCAATTTGCCGGCCCTGAAAAAGGGAGATTAAAAAAAAAGTTGATGAAATACATTTAACCAACATACCCTTTCCAAAGAACTTAAATTAGTATTTTGTGAATAGCACAAAAACAGCTTCTTTTACGTCATTTCTATAAAACCAAATAAACTCAGGATTTCAGTAATAAATTGCTTCTGGAAATCCTCTCACTTGATTATTTTCAGTAGAACATAAAAGAGAATATGCAGTATTCTGCAACCTTAGGCAATAGAAGAAGTATTTTCACACTTCATTCACATTATGAGATGAATTTCAAGCTGGATAAAAATTCCAATGTCTTTTCCCACAGTAACTTCTAACTTACTTTTTACACTGAATTTCTCTAGATTCTCTTGATGCAAAATATATTTTTAAATGAGGAAAGCAAATTAGCTATATAAAACATATACTAGTGTTTAGCCTAAGTCAGAACCAGCTGCATTTTTTATTGTTTTTAATTCTATTGTGAGGAATATTCTATTTTAATAGATTAATACAAAAGATTATGGAAAGGCCATCATACAAATGGGTTCTACCTGTGACAAATATTTTATTGCTTTAGTTAATAATTACATTTATAACATAAGAATTCATAAATGTAATCAATTTGCAAAAGCATTACATAAAATTAGTAGCCAAATTAAGAGGACAGAACTATAAAGTCAAAAAAAAAAATTAGGTATAGAATATTATTTAACTATCACAACTTAAACAGATTCTTTATAACTTTCAAACTCAAGCTTCATTTTTTAAGACATTTATTAGAAGATGAAGTAAAAAACACAAAACATCCTAAAATTCAATTGTCTATTATTTAATTTTTAATAGGTATTAGGGGTTACTCTTTAAAATGTTTCCCTAGATTTTCCAAATTATATTAGTTCTAACTTCCATTAATTCTGTTTTGATATGAAATTAAAAATAGTTTCAAAGGCATCTCATCACCTGTATACATATTAATTTTCCTCCTATGATCAAATCCATAAGAATCACTTTCTTTACAAGTGTAAAGATGTATCAAACTGGAATCATTGTCTAAAAACGCTCTCCACCACACACATGGATATTTTCCTTACATAATTTTAAGCCAAGAAATCTTCAACACATTGATTAGAAAATATTATCAATTCCTACTAACCAAATAAAAACACAAGCAAACAAAACACACTGTAACACATTTTAAGGCAAAAAGAGTGAGTGCAGATTGCTTTTTTAACCTGTAACAGGAAAAATAAAGCTAAATATTCCCATGACAAGATATAACTTTACCTGAGCTTTCTGTTGAATGATTGAGTTAAAGTCTTCATTTCCTGACTTAGGGGTCCAAGGAAATAACCCAGATGCAGTCAAGTTATTAGAGGACCTCTGGGCATTTCCGTTAGTAATGGCACTATCTGTGAACACTAATAAACCTTTCTTAGAAAAATCAAAGTTGGTTGAACAATCTGGAGGTATATGGCTAAGCTGTTGGAGAGAAAAACAAAAGAAAATCATCAGTGGAAACCTATAGAAAAGAAATTATTTCTATTTATTAAATATTATATTTTACTGATCACATGTGTAATATCCATGTTAAATACATACTTGTGAAATAAATAAAGTATGGATGCATGAATCTGTGTATTTATAAGGCTATAAATTTTATTTAGTATTACACAAAATATTTAACAGCTTAAAATTTGTTGTTTCCTGCCTTCTACCGCTACCTCAAGTTCATAGCATATATGACAGTTCATTATAATTCACATACAAAGATACATCCAATCATATAAACATGTATGTAAGACACTGAGTCCTTTTCCATTTATTTGTACATTTCCACATGGGAGCCACAAAAGATCCACAGGTAACATATAACAAAAATAACAGTAACAGCGTTTATTAAGTGCTTGCTATGAACGGAGTACTATACCAAAACTCTTACATATATTAACTCATTTAATCCTTGCAACAGCCCTATGAGATATTATTATTCCATTTTGTGAACATGAAAACTGAGGCACACAGAAGTTAAGTAACTTGCCCAAGATTAGTAGCAAATGAGTTTCAGAGCCACTTAAATTAGTGGGGGGGTGGAAAAAGATGGGGGAAAATTCCATAATTATGGGGAACAGGAAAAGTGGAATAAAAGCAACATCCAGAACAAATGTCAATAGGACCTTATAGAAAAAGTCAATACCCATAGAAACTCTGAAAACACTCATAGGAAAAAAATCACAGGGATTTTAGAGTTGAATGGATAAAATATGATTATGTACAAAATATTGTTATTATGATGAAGTGGTTGGTTAATTCTCTCTTAGTTCAGTAACAGTGATAGATTTCTAGTGATCTTTCCCAATTTCTATTGTTACCAATAGCATTCATTGTTGTGCTATGAGACTCATTCCATGACTATAGAATGCATAAAGTTAACCTTCAATATGGGAGTGCTAAAATTATGGTATAAATTCTGATTTCGAGAAAGAAATTCACAGAAAGACATATATGCAGGATTTAATCTTTAATTAGTTATTTAAAAACCCCTTGCTAAATATTTATGAGCAGGTATTTTGGTTTACAGCAGAAAACATTTTTTCCCAAATTTTGTTCATTTTCATTTGACAATTCTGCTACATTATCAATTATATTTAAAATTCTTCTCAAATTTAATCTATAGGATAGCTACTATTCAAGCTCAGCTACTAGAATAGATGATTTAAAATCAATTTGCCATCCCTGACCCTAAAACACAGAAACCAAGAGGACAGTTAAAACTATTAATTTACATCGCTCTAAGTAGAGGTGCTATGTGTCTTATAATTCAACAACCATGTATTCAGAGCCTGCAAGAGTCCAGGTACTATGCTATATGTAGTGGAGGAAACACAGGTAAATATTTAAATAACAGGTACACTGTTTCTAAGGACTTTCGAATCAGAATATCTGTGGCATGTGTAGTTATTTGATAAATATTTGATAATTATTGAGGTATAAATAATGGCTACAAGGGCATGATCATTTCTTGCTAGAAAAAAAGACCGTGAAAAAAATATATTTAAGTTAAACACTATTTTAAATTTTGAAGAAAACGTAACAATTCTCAAAGCATCTGATCTTTACATATTTAAATAAGTATAAAAAACCATATCCAAAGCCAAACACAAATTTATTATAAGCATTTTTAAACTATCCATGCCTACTATACCCACAGGTCACAAGTCCCAGTACAGTCTCTTTGCTGAATTAAGAGTATTTAAAAGCAATTTGTCTCTGTTCTCCTTCTATCTTTCTTTGCTAGCTTGAATATAACAACATGTAAAACTCTGATAGGTAACTTACTTGCCCCTTGAGTTGCTTGATGGACTGCTGAAGCGTGAGTATCTGGTTGAAGAGAGGACTCTTTAGTGTCTCATAAAACATAGATATCTTCTCATTCTGTGACGTGTCACCCTTCTCCTGCAATTTCGCTTTCAGGCGATCGAGAACTTGTAGGACCTGCAGTTTATCTTATTTGAAGGACAATCAGAGAACAAGTTAAAGCCTTTCTTATATTCCAATTTTGAACCATTAATTAATTTACTGATAGAAGTATATATCTAGTATACCTGTAGCAAGATTTTCAGGCATTTTGAATTATTGTCTTCAAGCAGTTTAAAGAAACCTAAAGAAAAAATTTAAAATACAAAATGTAATTTTCTATTACTGTACACATGTCTACAGTCCTGTATAAAATTTAAAGAAAATCTCAAGAACATTCTTCATCAAAAGACTTCACTCAGGAATTTCAAATTAAAACCACAATGAGGTGCCACTACACAGCACTACGATGACTAAAAGCAGAAAGCGAAACAATAGACAATACTAAGTGTTGACGAAGATGTGAAGCAACTAGAACTCTCCTGTGCTGCTAGTAGAAATGTAAAATGGCACAAACATTTTGAAAACTTGCCTGGCAGTTTCTTATAAAGTTAAATATACTTACTCTGTGACCCAGCACTTCCACTCCTAAATACTTGTCCAAGAGAAATGAAAACATATGCCCACAAAATACCTATATATGAATGTTCATAGCACTTTTACCAGAAAAACTCTAAAAGCACTAAACCAGAAAAACTCAAATGTCTAATAACAGATGAATGAATAAACAAATCATGGTATGTAAACATAAATAGAATACTCATAAATAAAAAGGAAAAAATTACTGATACACACATAGCACGGATGAATCTCAGAAACAGTAAGTTGAAGAAAAGAAATGGAACAAAAAGGATGTAAACTGTATGATTCCATTCATATGAAGTTCAATTTATAGCTATAGGCTAGTCACCTGGGCAGGTGGAAAGGAGTTGACTGGTAAAAATTTGAGGTCTTTTTTGGGGTAATGGAAATGTTCTGTTTTGAATGGGATACTGTTTACATAGATGTATACGCTTGTCAAAAATTCATTAAACTATACATTTTAAATTGGTATATCTTATTGTATGTAAACTATACTTTTATAAAATGTATTTAAAAAAAAAAAAAAAAGGATCCTGGGCTGGAAAAGAACATACGGATTAAAAGATCAAGATTTTAAAGAGATCTGAAAAAAAAATATCCCCAAGCTGCACAAATGATCCAAGACTCTTACTAGTCATCTAAGAGAGTCTCCTCAATATGGCATTTTCTATGGATAATATTTTTTAATTCCAGTGATTTGTTCAAATTAGCCCAAAATGTAATGTAATCGAAATTCAAAAAGCTAGCAAAACCTTTGCTATGACCAAAATGGCACTTTCCCAGTGGTCATTTTTACTAGTGGTACACTGTTATAATGAACCATCAAAGAAATATGAGTATTACACAGTCAAAATTTTCTCATATCAGTACACTTCCTTAAGGAGATCTTACCTTCGAAATCAAGGTCAGTAAGTAAGAAAGCATATCAAAGACCAGTAAGGGATGCCACTGGCATTGATAAAAGGTCCATGTATTCAATTCAAAAGTTCACTGGATTCAATGATAACTATCAAAAGAACTGCTGAATAGAGCATCACATAAACACTTCTGATGTGCTCAAAATCTCAATTGTGCAACCCTTACAAACACCCATAGAAAGGTAACTGAGTAACAGAGGGGCAGTCACAATGGCACTGTCCTTTTCTATAGCAGCTTACAGCCCAAAAAGATTGACAATAGCCGCTTTGTGGTCATCAATACAACAGCCTCTCTAAATCAAAGAATGCGAGCTAAAACTATGAGATGGTATTTTTTACTGTTGGATTGGCATTTTTAAAAAATTAATAATAGCTTATACTCTAGATGTCATGGAAAAACAAGTGTGAATAGAAATTTACATAATTTTTAGGAGAGCAACATGACAATATCTATTAATGTACTAACTTTACATTCTCTTTTCCCCAGAACATCTACTTCTGAGTGTCTCTCCTAAAGAAATACTTGCGAAAGGGCACATAGATGTGTATACAAGAATATTCACTGTGTTGGTTTTAATAACAAGACTCTTGGAAAACTTAAACTATCAAAAGGAACCAGTCATTAAAATAATAAGTAAATCTGACTGTACTGAAATGGGAATGGGACTGAAACAGTTAATAGCAAGCCTGTGGCTCAAGCCACCACCTGGAGATTCCCAGCTAGATACCAGACCTCTTGGCAAACAAGCTAAGATAAGAGTCTCTTGTTTTAAAATGTCAGGAAATACCTGATCTGTCTTAAATGCTTTTTGTAAGTAATCTGAGAATGTATGGTCATTTAAGGCATAGCTGGCTGTAAGATGGGAGATAATAACAGACATTTTCTATTTGTGTAACTAATGGAATATAAAACTTGGGATTCCCCAAATAGAAAAAGTTTTGAGAAAAATGTTTCCGCATACATTGTTCAGAACTTGTCTGGTAACCCAAAACAAAACAAACAAAAAAATGTGTTCTCCGGTTGAATTTTACTCCTGTAAACAAATTTAATAAAAGTCCATCAGAGATACATTTCTAAATGGCTTAATGTCAATCTATATGCAACTAGGTATTTATGTTGATGATATGGCCTAAAGTAGAAGAAAATGACATTCTTTGGAAGCTGCGCTTATAGACTGGGGCCTTCTCTACCAAGGAATGTCTGTGTCTCGCTGCCATGCCAGCCTCCTCCTGCCTATAACCTCTGAATCATGACTAAGGTTCGATGCTGGGTAAGATCCCTCATTCACATAAGTATGTTTTGACAATTCAACTCTTTGTGTTGACAAAGGGTCATTATTTAATATACACAACTAAATAGGGAAAGCGGCAAGTTTCAAGATACAGGAAATATTTCCTCCCATTCAAAAGAAAAAAAATATACATATTTGTGTATATGTAGGTTTCTAGATTTAGAAAGGTAATCGATTGAGTAATAGTGATTGATGGGGAGATAAAAAATTAGACTTTTAGTCTACAGCCATGCCACCCTGAACAAGCCCGATCCCATCTGATCTTGGAAGCTAAGCAGGGTCTGGCCTGGTTAGTACTTTGATGGGAGACCACCGAGGAAGACCAGGTGCTTGTAGGCGTAAAAAAGTAAAAATAAAGGATTGTAAGCTGACAAGGTCCTTGCAATCTGTGAGGTCAACCAAGGGCTACCTCGCCTAAAAATAAAAATTAGACTTTTACTTTATAGATTTTGGTGCTGTCTGAACTTTATTTAAAAAACATGTATTAATTTTAGAGCTTAAAAATATAAGGGACAAAAACATTATGGCTAAGATGGACTAATGAGAGAGCAAAACAGATTCATAACAAGACAATAAGATAATTATATTGTAAGTTATACACAAACAATAGAGGTATGTACCATGTGCTAAGAAAAATTATAAAGGGAGAGTGACTAACCCTGCCTAGGGAAGTTTGGGAATGCTGGAATGGGAACACATTAGAAACCTCTTGTAAAAGAAAAAGAATGGGGTGTAAAATTAAGAGTAACCATTTGTCTTCTTTTGACTAAAACAGCCTCAGATTACCAAGAATCATTAATAATGCTCCATTTCACTCTCTAAAGTGTCCCAGTTTGAATGACATATAGGGCTGTTCTAGGTCAGTGGTTCTCAAATTTTATCATGCATCAGAATCACCTGGAGGAATTGTTAAAACACAAATTGCTGGGGCCCACCCCAGTGATTCTGATTCTGTAGGTCTAAAGTGAGGCTGGAAAACATGCATTTCTAACAGTTTCCAGTTGATCCTGATGCTGACAGCCTAGGGACCACAAAACTATTGCATACAGGTATAAAAGTGCATGACTTTCTATGAGAATAGTAACTAGTTATAAATGACCTAGTAGTATAAGGTCTCTAAAAGTAGTAGAAAGGGCACAAAAGTAGTTTAGACTAGTATTACTGCAAGTGTGGGCTGCAAATTGATGCCTGGCCACAAACAGATAAGTACCAAAATTGGGAGTAAGCATTTAGAAACCATGTAATGTGCCAGAATAATTTACATCTATTAAATTTAGTAATTAAAAAAAATAACTTGACTTACCTTGTACTTCTTTTTTAATTTCATTTTTCTAGCAATTCATTTTTCTAAAAATTTATCTTACAAAAATATCAGTCCTTGAAAGATTGGGCAGGAAATCCTGATCTTTCACTACTGATCACTGGAGAAGCACTGGTTTAAATAAGACTTCTTTGAGAGGGGCCTTGTAAATAATGCTAAGTAGACTGGTCTTTATCTTGTAAGTCACAGGAAGTAATTAAAGGCTTTTAAATAGAGAAGTATTGAGTCCAGATTTCTATTTAAAAAAGTAATTCTAGTAATAGGATAGATTCATGGCCTTCAAACTTCTTAAACACATTCCTATCAGTAAAAATATATTGACTGCTCACCTTCATTTTTTTATAATTACAAACATATACTACTATATTTACAAGTCGTATGTGTTTTAAAACATAAAATAGAAACAAGTAAGGTAAAAACTAAAAAGCGAAGTTTTACTGTCACCTTCCTAACCTCCCAATGAATCATCGTGCACATTTTGTAAACCATAGTGGTAGAGTATCCCTCGTAAAGGCAAAGGATAGAACCTTGTTGGTCACCCAACTCTCTAACTCATATTTAATAAAGGCTAAACTATGTCCACAAAGCAGGCCTGGAAAATTACTATAATTCCGTGGTGTTGGGTACTATCTAGGGAAAGGAAATAAAGCTTTAAGAGTAGATTAAGAACATCCAGCAAGCCGAAGATTATCCAGCAAATAGCATCCAGGCTAAATGGAACCCATGTCTCACTCATTTTATGGTCATAAGAAACCTTCAGCTAAACAACTTTGGCCTATTTGGCTGGGCTAAGAAACAAACATGGCTTATGCAAGGAATTTCAAGTTTGTTTAAACGTGATAAAGCTGAGTCTAAATTGTCATAGATACGGTACCTACAATAGGTCACAGTCTAAACATTAAAATACCACAGTGTGCCGCTGTCCTCATAGTTGTACAGCTTCAAGAGAATGAGTAGTTTATTATGCTCTGCAGTTTCCACTACATCACTGATCGAGAGAGTTTGTACCATGAATTTTTTATGTCTCATTTACTGTAGGATTTGATTGAAAGAAACTACTATAATATTGTGGCTTTTTAAAAATACCTATGCCCTTAGCCATCACTAGTTAATGGAACATTTGAAAAAAGCTGATGCATAGATAGAAATTTAATTTGATTTCAATTTCTAGGTGGAGGAAACTTAATGAAAAGATTTATTAACTTCCTCAGTTCAAGAATTTAGGTGAGTTAAGGACCCTGAGAAACTCTTTTCAGACACCCAACAGCACAGAAGAATGTAACTCCCCAAGGTATCTTATAATTCTAAACGCAAAAAGTAAACAGGCTTTAGGTCCGTGGCATAGATCTACCCTGAAGACTAAAGAAAGGGTATTGACAGGCTCTAAATTTCTCTCTATTTGAATCAGAACCTAAAATGAGGGCTTTAAAAAAGGCATCCAAATCTATACAAAAACATGTGAGTGGAAAAAAAAAAACAACAACACACAGCAATGGTCAAGCAATCTCAAATATTAAGGTGAAATAGTCCCGTTTCTTAAAAAAATTTACTCTAGTACCAAGGTGGGCAAAGTCATAAGTCAACAAATTAAATCTCATTTTGGCTTCATCAAATGTATTTTTATTAAACTTTAACAAAGCAAGTAAATTCAGGCTGCTTGGTTGTTTAGTTTAAGGATAATTATTAAATGCTTTCTGGTAAAAAAAAAATGCAATTAACAAAGATTACTGAATACTGAACCATTGTCTCAGAATCCCAATTAACAAAGACAAATCTCTTCTGAACTCAGCTTATAAATTTTACCCATAAATTATCTTCCAACTCTGATATTTATTAACTTTCTAATTATTTAAAATTTTTAATAATTCTTATAAAAGCCGTTAGGGGCTTAGAAACAGGCTAATTTTAGTTAAAAGGCATGATCACGCCTTTTTCTGATGTTGCAAAATGAACCGATTTGAATTTTAATCCCCGCTCCTCCCTAGTTTTCCTTTAAAAAAGATTTGTGCAAACGAATTGGCAGCCAATAGGAGCTTAGACAGCCAAGAACGTAGTATTACCATCCTCCATGTAACTAAGATTTCTTTTTCTTCTAGCTTTCCAGGGGCTTCTTCATTCATTTAGGAAACACTTGTTCTTTGCGCACCTATCAATGGACAGACTTCAAATGCAGTTGAGAAGCAACCTATAGAAACAAGGCCCTGAAAGGCGCACCGTCTCAATCGCGGAGACAAACCAGTAAACAACTCATTTGAATCCAAAGTGATGAGCCATCTGGGGATACGACAAAGCGCCAAGTGAACACTCCACGGGGGGGATTAATTCGGCCAGCTAGGTGTGCCAGGAGAGTTAGGGAGCTTTGGAAGGGACAGGGAAAGATCTGAAAGTGCTTTCCTGAGCTTGATTTAAAGCAGGAATCCAACAATTTCCCCAAAGGCTGGAGGTCAGAGCACTTTCTGCTTGGTCCTCCTCATCTACAAAGTAAGGCCAGTAGGGCCCAGGCCTGAAGGTCGACCCGGGGAACTCCGCTACGTGACTACCAGGCGCCCAGATGGGGCCGGGGCCAAATCGCGCCCTCGCTGGGCACCCCCTCCTTCTCCGGGCCTCCAAGGCACGCCACCACCTGTTCACTCCTTTCACCTTCACCTGTTGAGGAAAGGCTCCGCCCAGCTCTGGGTGCGGCGGCGGGATGGAGGGGACGCAGGCATTGATCTGGGTGCAAAATCTGATCCCTGCCACTCCCGGAACAGCGGAGGCCTTGATTTGAGGGCCGCCAGAGCCTGCCGAGGCAGGGCGGCTCCGCGGCCTCCGGCCAGCCCAGCCCCGCGGGGCGCGGGCCACGGTGGGGGTCATCCAGGCCGACGCAGGAGGACCGCGCCCCGCACCCCCTGTGGGCCAGGCCGAGCGGCCGGCGGCGCCCTGCGTCTCCCGTTCCACCTCCCGCGGGAGGGCGCGTCGGAAGCAGGGGACGCAGGCGCAGGAGGAGGAGGTGCTCCTGGCCAGCTTCGAGGCGAAGGGACCCTGCGCGCCGTGCGCGCCCGCACGACGGGGTCCCGAGCTTTACCTGTTTGGGTGGACTCGCAGTGGGAGCTCGGAGCGGGCAGGAGGGCCGGCGTCGGCCCTCCCTCACCTGGGCGGAAGTGAAAAGCCCAGGGTGACCGCGCCTCACCTGGCAGGCCCTCCCCTCGCATCGACCTCCCTGCCCGGGGCGGGGCGCCGGGGTGGCGTAGGCGGGGGAGACTGAACCCGCGGGAGGCCGACTCTGGGGAGGGAGCGCTGGTGCCCTTGGCTTCTCTACTTAATGCAGGTGAAGTTCAGCTGGGCGAGGGAGGGTTAAAGAGCCTAGAAAAGGTGGGGTTTGGGGGTCAAGTGGGCAAATGAAACACCAGGTGGTGGGGGTAGCCGGCTCTAATGGGGTGGGAAGGTCGCTGGACTGGTGGTGTAGGAGGGCTGGATTGAGAGGGAGACCCAAGATCAAGGAAATTAAAGGAGGACACTGAGGAAAGGATTTGGTCAAATATGCTTGGTCTCTCGTCCTATTCTATCATCCCTCTTTGTGTTTTTTATATCCACTGACCCAATATAAAATTCTAAGAAGTTTAACTGAGAGTTATCTTTTCACCCTCATTTAGTTGAGAAAAGGAAGGAAATCAATCTAGCATTATTTGTCATAACGTTGAGAAAAGATCTTTGAAAATCTACAATGGTATTATTCCACTCTCTTTAATGTAACTAACTTGAGAATTTTGATGCTAGGCGTTTTACTTTGTCTAACATAGTCCACACATTAACGATAAAAAGAATTGATCTTCAGGTATGTATTCACTGAATAAATGTTTTTGTTAAGCACTATGATTGTGTAAATTGTTAAAAATGGAATACCTGTCCTCAAGGGAGATAAGGCATACATACAAAACAACTGCAACATAAAATCATCTGTTGTAAGAGCATGCATTATGTACTTTATAGTATCATTGTTAGTTTGCTGGTTTTAAAGGAAATATTGTTAAGCCTGGTAAAAATACACAATTTCAGCATGGTCCCTACTTCTTAGGAACTAACAAACTATTGAGGGAAATAAACTTATATAATAACTTAAATTACCGAGTAGAATGAAGCCAGAACTTTATAAAATAAAAAGAGAGAGAGAGATGTATTATGTTTGTTAAAAGCATCTGTTAGGACTTAACCAGGTCTTAACAGGTGTTGGGATGTGCTTCAGGTAAAATGGAGAAGGAAATACTTCCCAAGTCAGGGCAGCATACAGGTGGAGACCAGTTATCTCAAACCATCACCTTGCAAACATGTTGGTCTCTTCTTACTCTACTATTTGGTGATAGTTATAAACATATTCTCCCTTTCTCAAAAATAATGTGACTTTGGATTGACTATGAAACAGTTCAAACTTCTTTTCTGAGTTCCAAGACTCTCTTAAACTCTTCCCTTCTTGCTAACTCTTCTACTTAATCTCCCATTTCACCTCTCCAAGGTCCTACTCTGACTCAACAGGTCTAATCCATGCCCTTGGAATCACCACACCATGGCTTTTCTGTTGGTTACTCATCCCCTTTCCCATGCCTGGAATGTCTTGTAAGCCCTACCCTTCCCCAGGGCTAGATTCAGGTCTCACCTCTTAGGCGAAGCTGCCTCCATGACCACCCCAGAAAACATCCATCTCTGCCATATTTAAACTAATTTTCTCTGTGTTTTTGTGGTGTTAATTTAATGTGAGCTTTCTTTTGGCTCTTGGAAATTTTTTAAAAATTAATTTATTCAATACATTTTTTAAGGAGTTTATTGTGGTAAACATTTTCTGGCACCAAATTTTGTTTGTTTTACCTCTGAAAACCCTCAAGTTTTATTCATACAATAAAGAAGATGAACAAAATTTTTAAGAACACATCTCTGAAGTCAGATCTGAGCTTAAATCCTGATTCCGCCATCTCCTAAAGTATTTGACTTTGGTAAGTTACTTAACCCTTCTAATTCTAATTAGTGAAATTATGGTAACTTCACATGGTAGTTTTGAAGGTTAAATGAAAGAATATATGTATCACATATACCTGGCACATAGAAAGTACTCAGAAAATGAAGCAGCAGAAGGGAGTGAGCATAATAGATACTGGTGACAATAAGGAAACAGTCAAGAACAGTAGTAAATAAAGTCAGACAGGCAGATGGTGGAAGACCTGAAAATACTACAAAGAACTTCAGATTATAAGACTTTATTCTTCATCTCTAAGAAATTAAAGAACCACTGAAAATATTTGAATAGGATTTTTATTTGTTATTTTTTTAACATTTAATGATTTGGTATTTATTTTTAAAAAAATTTTTTAAAGTAGTTTTGGGGGGCATTGCAAAATTGAGAGAAAGGTACAGAGACTTCCCGTTTATCCCCTGCCCCCACACATACATCCCCCACTAGAGTGGTATATCTGTTAAAGTCAATGAACCTATTTTGACATAATCATAATCACCCAAAGTCCATAGATTACATTATGGTCCACTCTTAGTGTTGTACATTCTATGGGTTCGGGCAAATGTATAATGATATATTCATTGTTCTAAAAATTCTCTCTGCTCAGCCTGTTCATAACCCCCACTCCAACTCCTGGAAACCACTGATTTTTTTATTGTCTCCATAGTTTCGCTTTTTCCAGAATGTTAGATTGTTGAAATCATACATTATATAGGCTTTTAAGATTGCTGCTTTTACTTTGTAAATACATTTACGGTTTCTCCATGTCTTCTCATACCTTGATAGCTCATTTTTTTTTCTTTTTTCTTTTGTTCTTTAGATTCCACATATAAGTGAGATCATATGGTAATTGTCATTCTCTCTTTGACTTATTTCACTTTGCATAATACCCTCTAGGTCCATCCATGTTTTTGCAAATGGTAAGATTTAATTTTTTTATGACTGAGTAATAGTCCATTGTATATATGTACCACCTCTTCTTTATCCAGATGGGCACTTAGGTTGCTTCTGATAGCTCATTTCTTTTTAGCACTGAATATAGTCTATTATCTGGATGTACTACAGTTTATTTGTTCAACTACTGAAGAACATCTTAGTTGTTTCCAACGTTTGGCAATTATGAATAAAGCTGCTATAAACATGCAGGTTTTTGTGTGAACATAGTTTTCAACTCCTTTGGGTAAATACCAAGGAGTTTAAATAGAATTTTGAATAAGATTTTGAATATGACACAGGTTTTTTTTAAATGAAAGATTAATCTGAAAGCAGCATGAAAAAATAATGGATTGACAAAGTTGAGGAGAGCCTAGAATCAAAAAGAGAAAGAAGCCATTATAGTAGGAAATAAGCTATACCTGAAATAAAGTGAAAATATAGGATTAAAAAAAAACACACAAAAAATTGGTCACTTATTAGATAAAGGGATTAAAGAAGAACAAGGAGAAAACTGCAGTGCAAAGATGATTATAAGTTTTGAACTGATAAAAAGGATACAGGTGGTGAAACTTAGAAAAGCCAATTTATTCTGTTTTGTTTTTCTTGAGAAACAGGACTCTGATAAAGTCAGTTTTAGATTCTATATCTGACATTCAAGATGAAATATACTTGACATAGAGTAGGCCTTATTAAGTGATGAGTCTATTTAATTGGATAGTAGGTGGCTAGATTGGTGCACCGAAGAGAGGACACAATTAGATATACTTGAGGAGCAACAGCATAGATGTAGATGTAGTAGAATTCAAAATGTGCAGATGGCTAAAATAAAGATCTATCAGAGTCCTGATAGTATGAATTTATCACCAGAGTGGAAAAAAATTGCCCAAAACAGATTTTTAAAAATCGAGGAAAGTAAAGCTTTTATCTCCTAATATTCGGTCCTAAACATGGAAACAGGAGTCAGATTGGTTTCCTCGGAAATTTTTGCTATAGGCAAAAACTATCTGTTAATGTAATTAGGTGTCTGCTAGAATTTTAGGAATGGAAAGATCCAATGTGCAGAGCTTTGAATGCCAAAGGATGTTTTGCTTCATTCTTCACTGGTAATCCTCTTTCCTAATGTTTCTACACAGCAATTTCCATATTGGGCTATGCTATTTACATCCTTTGCTTTCTATAGAATTTTATAGAATTTTTATGTGACATAGAAATTTGGCATTGAAAACCTGCCTAAGATTGAGGTTTAAGAACTTTCTTACTAAAATTAGACAATGGAGTAATCAAGTGATCAGAGACTATGGTTGCAAATAAATTAATGTATTTTAATGTATTTTAATGTATTTTACTGAGCCATGAGAAAATAGACTAAGGGACAGTAACAAGAGAAAGTGAATTTTTAAATACACCATCAGTTCAAGAGTCAAAATTTTAGTATTGTTTCTTTACTTTCATGGTGAGACTCTTGTTTACAGTTTATATACATTGTAGAAGAGGATGAAGATAATCATTAGAACCATAAAAATAGATTTTGTAATGGAGTTAATCAGCAAAGCATAATCATTTTCAAATAGTTAATTGTTCAAAATCTATATGAAAAATGACACAAATATAAAGATCGGCAACATTCCTGCAGTCAGCAAGAAAATACAGTAAATCCTCACTTAACGACAGATTCTTGGAACTGCAGTATAATGTGTTAACCTAGAAATAAAAATTCCCAAGTGAGAGGCAACATACATTTATTTGAGATACAAAGAATAGATATTTGGGAAGCATTGATTCACGCAGAACCCAAATAGTGTTTCAATTAGGAGGTGAAGGCAAGGGGTATTTATGAGAAATGGGAACAATTACATAAATAGAAGGAAGAAATTTCCATGGGTGTTAATGAGATAAGAAAGGAATTTCTATAGGTGCAGATAAGCTAACACAGTGACCCTAATTATAAAGAATGTCTTTAATTTTCAGTTTGGTAGTCATACTGTCTGCCTTCTTGTTTTCTTTACAGTTATTTGGGATACAATACAGCTTTAGACCCAGCGCAAATGATATTTTGCTCAGTTTTAATATTCCAAAGGTTTGAAGAGTAAGACATGCAAGGCAGTTCCTCTGGGATGGCAGCTCTGACTCCATTTTAAAGTGGCTCTGTTTATATTTCCCCTTTTAGTTGAAATCTTTCCTTGAAAGCATTGCTGATCAATCATTGGAAAGCAACACTGATTAGTTATTAAAAGCATCGTTAGTCCTCCATTGCCAGGAAGGCTAATTTTCAGTACATCATGCCTTTGTCAGTCTGTTGTCATCAGAAAGGCTCATTTCTGGTATGTCATGTCCCATATAGGAGGGAAAGTGGTTTTTTAGGAAACCTGGGCCACATTTGAGCAATAAGAGTGCCAAACAGAGGAAGTTTTTACCATCATGTTCCTTTAAGGAAAAAATCTTTTGTCGTTTCTTAAGGTTTGTCACATCATCTCATAAGCCTTAGTGATCATCTCAAAATGTTGAGCAACCATTATCAAGGTACTGTCTTTAAAACATTGAGCTATGTAAAATAAACATAACAGTAAAAATTCTTATAATTACAAACAACATAAAATGTTCAGTCCAAATCGAAGAATAGATCTGAACCAGGAGGCAATACCTGAGGCAGTCAGCTGAAGATATTAGAGAACCTGAGGTGTCAGTGGGCACTGTATTTAATCATTTGGCTTGTGCCCAGATTTTATCTTGTTCCATCCCTATTTTACCAGCGGTATTTTATCCAAGTACAGGAGGTATTAACCACACAGCCAACCTCACCATGTTTAGCTAGAATACGGTCAAGAGCAATCCTATTGTCTAATATAACTTGCACAAGGGAATTTAAAGATTTTTCCTGGTTGGCTATTGTGTTGGTGGTAGCTCCAGTAACTTTCTCTAAGATTTTTTTTTCTCTAAGGTTTTTGATAGTTTTTTTTTTTTAATCATGTATTTATTTGTTGTGTTACCTGTTCAAGGAAAACGTATTCTTCCAAATCTGATATCTTTATCGGGGTTGACATCACTAGGCATTGAACATCCATGACTATGTGTGCAGCCAGTTGCACGTTTTGACCTGAGAAGTAGGTTTAAAGATGATGCCCAGTGTCGAGTTATCTTTCCAGGCAGAAATAAAGGGGAAAAAGGAAACAACTATTATAGCGAGTGCTTAACCTCTCATATTAATCGTGAGATAGGAAGTAACTAAAGAAAGAATAAAAAGAAAAAATAAAGGTGAAGGTGTAGTTTATGCTAAGATTTCTGAATTCTGGAGAGAAATGATTAATTCTGCTTACAAAGGTATAATTTACTAAATTGCTATAAGTCACAGATAGCTTAGGAGAAAAATTCCTTATATTTGGAAAACAGATAAAATAATATTTCAAATAAAAATTCATAAAATTATAATCATCCTCACCAGTTCATTAAGTCCCATGTTATTAATTCTTGTTTTGATCTTTTTGTTAACAGTTTTAAGAATTCAGGTTTTTTTTCTAGAATTCTGCAAATCTTCACCCAGTTTAATAGTATGATCTGAAAGTTTACTAGAAACTTGTATTTTAGAGTGTCAGGGTCCTCTCCATGGATTTCTTGCAAGATGAAACATCTTTGCAAATCACTTTTGCAAAAACATCAGAGTAAAACAATAACTGTCTGTAAATGACAAGACTTAAAGATCTGGTGAGAGTTCACATACACACATAAAAACGATCCAATCGAGTTAGTTATCCATTTTAATCTTAGCTTGACCATACATACAATTTTTAAAGTTTAAAAATTGAACTAGTAAATTTCAAATTTTCTATCACTTAAACCTGTAAACATAAAAGTTTTGATTTAAAAATAGCCGTCTCATTAAGGATTCGACTTCTAGGTTCAGGAGAAGAGCTAGAAGTTGCTTCTTTTTCCTCTAAACCAGTAGATTCCTAGAGAGAACACGGAGTCACAAGGTAGGGGTGTGAATGTGGAAAAAGTTTAATGCTGCCTCCTGTCTTCCCTGATCCTGGTGGGGAAGAAAGGATGCAGATCCTGGTGGTATGCCGCAGATCCTGGTGGTATGCCGCAGATCCTGGTGGTGTGCCACAGCCCATGACACCTCTAGGAAACCAGCTCTTTCTCACTGAATCAGGGAAGAGGTGATACTTTTGCCACTGGATTAAAGTGGGTGCCAGAGAAGTAGCTGTCACCTAGAGAACATCTGGACACCCTGTTTTACATAGTAGGGGCGTGCAGTCCTAACTGGTTGAGAAGGGCTAGGTACTGTGTTGCTTGGTTGCTCAGGCACAAGTGACCACCTATTCTTTATGAATACATAACTTAAAGCCAATTTACATGCTTATATTTCAAATAAACCTTTGAGGACTCAATTCAAAATAATGTATCATAATCATCCAGCTTTATATTGAACACCTATGTAGACACCAACCATTAAAATGAACAGTCTATTGGATAAATAGAAAAGAAGGCTTGTTATAGGTGGCATTTGCCTGGGAGACACAGGGCCACAGAAGGGGATTTTTAAAAAATAGTGCAGTAATGCTGCAAAATTGGTTTAAGAAAAATTTTAAATATAGTTACAATTCTAAAATATTACTAAAATAATTTCATGTACTTATAATACAGAACATTATCCCAGGGTTCTCAAAGTGTGTACTCTGAACCAGCAATATCAGCATCACTTGGGAACCCCTTAGAAGTGCAAATTATTCTGCCCCCCCCACCCCCCCGTCTAGATCTTCAGAGTCAGAAACTGAGGGTTAGCCCATCCTTCAGTGTTTTTAACAAATCCTCCAGATGATTGTGATGCTCCCTAGAGTTTGAGAACCATGATCCATGTCTTCAAAATTAGTGTCAGTGAAGAGGCACCAATCAAATTCAAGTGTTTTTACATTAGAGAAAAAAGATTAAAGTTTCACTTTAAAAAGTACACATTTCTTCAGTATAAAAGATATCTTCACTGCAGAACTTAGATGGAGAGAAAAACCTCCAACTTTTCACTTAGTGTAGTCATAAAGTCTTTGGTCTCCTATTGTTATAGCCCCTTTCCCTCACCTAAATTTTCACTATTAAAAATAAAGGTGTAATGCCCATCTTTATGATAGAGTCCTTAAGTACTGGTAGTAGCAGCCTTTCACGATTTCTCCTCTAAGATAACGATTTCTCCTCTAAGGAGGCCATTATACCTATAATAGTAAGAGCACAGATTCTGAAATCGGGTAAACATCCCTTTATTCCAACTCAGTAACATGTTTATTAGCGTCTTTAAGCCTAGTTTGTTATCTGCAAACCCAAATCCTACCAGGACTAACATAATGTTTGTAAAGCGTTAATCATATCGCCAGACGCCGCTGACACTTTCGCGGACAGAAGAGACGCAGCAGGTTAGTTCCAAAGTGAGCACTGGATAGAAGGTAGCTGATTCTCCAAGATAGCTTTCTCTTTTTTTCCGGTCTGGAAGACCAACCCAAACTCTCCGAGTTGAATCCGCGTCCCACGGGGCGGAGAACCTCTGTGTAGTCAAAGCACGGTCCCTTTAAGAGCCCCCCTCCCTCTGCCCTCCTCTCGCCCGCGCCTAGGCGAAGGCGGAACCGGAAGTCGTGGGGAATGCGCTGGTCCCCAGCATGGCGGCCGCCTGGCCCTACAGGCCAGCCGTTCCTGAGCCTGTGGCTGCTCAGCTCCTGAGTGTCTTGTGGTTCGTGTCGGTCACCACGGGACTTTGGGGAGCTGCTGCTGCCGGGGGCGAGGAGACGCTTAAGTGCGAGGACCTCAAAGTAGGACAATATCCTCTGTTGAGGAGCACCCCCTTAGGGGCGAGGTAGATTTGGGGTCGCGAGTGGGTCGCGGCTTCAGCGCGGGCTAGGGTTGTACTGAAGGGAACGGTGACTTGTGGCCTCTAATGACGAAGGGACCCAGGCAAGTGAAGAGCGATGGGGGATGGAAAGAACAGAGGCCACTGTGTGTGATTTCCTTGGAATTTTACAGTTGTTGGCGTTTCCTCTTCTGGTACACTTTTTTTTTTTTTTTTTAACTGGTGGCTTTATTCAGCAAACATGTAGATCCTGAAATATGCAAAGTCCTTATCTAGGCACTAGTAATAAGATTGACAGGCTCAACTCTGTAAATTTGCCAACTTGGGGTTAAAAATTAATAATGATGTAGCCGGTGTTTGTTGCCCATTTATCATTAACTTTACATCTGTTACCTTATATCATTTTCAAACTTCGTGAGATGCCAGACCGTCTGGGGGCAGATTTCTGTAGCCGTGGTCAAATTATTTGAACCCTGTTTTATGAATAAAAATGTAGATAACAATGAAACCAACTTAAAGGTCTGTTGTGATCAGTTAGTACTACAGGTAAATCACGTAGAGTGATGCCTGGCAAGAAGTAGGGACTATATATGTTACCTGTTTATTTACAGAAGAGAAAACAGGCCGAAGGGGTTAAGGGGATCTTTTCATTTAACAGTTCTTATAAACTGAGGAACAATATGAATTGGAAGTTACATTCAAATTAAAATAGCTACTTATGTACAAAATTTGTACAACGAAAAAGGTTGTACAAGATTCTATGAGAAAAAAATCTTAAAATTAAGAAAATTCTATAGTATTTTTTATGTGAGCTAGGGGAGAGACAGCTGTTACTCTGTTTTTTACAGAGTAGCTCTTATTGAATATCATTTCACTTAAACTATGAGAATCACTGACCTAGTAAATTGAGTTGTTGGCAGAAATGTCAGAGTGGTTCTAAGAAAATAGTTGGGCAGTATGAAGAGTTATGCTTTTTGAACCTTAGAGAGAAGTGTCTGATAATATAAGACTATGAGGTGATGATAACTAGAAAATATCTGTTACTCCTGGCATAAAAATGAGGTTTCCAGTAGTAATTCAGAAACCTTAAACAGGTGTCGGGCTCTATGTCCAGAGACATCTTGTGAATACCTTACTTATTTCATTTTAGTGTCAAAATATTTAGGAAACTGAAAAGCACCCCAGGTGTTTTTAACATCCATAAGAGGATAATTATTACATTTCCAAAAGCTTAAATTTTTGTGAGGAGACCTTGTAGACCCACCTAAAACACCATCTTCCCTGCAGTCTGCAATCAGGACTGCAATCAGGAAACCTTATTTTACTGTCACTTATATGATTTTGGATAAGTCACTCAAACTTTGAGCCTCAGTTTGTGTTTCTGTAATGTGGAAGTAATAGTCTCTACCTCACAGGGTTATTTGTGTTACGTAAAATTATGTATATATGGCAATACTTGGGACCCCATAAATGAGTTCAGTCAAATCTCTGGAAATTGATTTTTTTTTAACCCTGAAACACTCTTACAATAATTTGTTAAAGATTTTTATTTTCATTTTTTCTTTGTGCTTTGTGCTTAAACTCTGACTAATGTTCTTTAAGATGGCATCCTCTGGTAGAACTTTTAGTATATGTTAATATACTTTTCCTGTAATAGATTAATGCTCAGGTATTATTTAGTGACACTGAAAGTATGTTTATGCTTGTGCTTTTTCTCTTGGATACACTAACAGCCTCGCTACATGTGAATATAAACATTAAGTGTATAATATGAGGTATTAAAGACAAGAAGTAATGTTTTGTGTTGGAATATAGTTCATATTTCCTTAACTCTTTTTACATATATTTGTAAAGATCCAAAAATAAACGATGCTACACAAGAACCAGTTAACTGTACAAACTACACAGCTCATGGTAAGACTTCTAGAAACATGTATTTAATTAATTAATTAATTATTTTAATTGAAGAAATTATTTAAATTTTTTCCGCATCTACCTTCCCCCTCTTCCCTCCTCACTACCCTCTGGTAACCGCTAGTCCATTGTTCATGTCCATGAGTCTCTGTTTGTCCTGTTCATTTGTTGCTTTTAGGCTTGTATCCCATATTTAAGTGATACGTGATTTTCAGCTTTTTCTGTTTGGCTTATTTAACTAAGTATGATTATCTCAAGGTCCATCCATGTTGTTGCAAATGGCAGTATTTCATCTCTTCTTATGGCTGAGTAATATTCCATCGTATGTATGTACCATAGCTTCTTTAGCCAATCATCTATCGTAGGACACTTCAGTTGCTTCCATGTCCTTGCCACTGTGAATAATGCTGCCATGAACATCGGTGTGCAAATATCTTTTCAGATATGAGTTTTCAAAACTTTGGGGTAAATACCCCGTGGAGGGATTGCTAGATCATACAGTAGATAAATTCTTAGTTTTTTGAGGAGCCTCCATACCATTTTCCATAGTGGCTGTACCAATAGAAGCACAAAATATTGCATTTCTTTGTCATAATAGATTTTCATGGTTGTTTTCCTAAATCTTAAAAAAAAAGAAGGAAAAAATGA